TTTCGGTATATTTTTAACAGTTATCTTTGAAGATTATTATGTTCAAGTTTGAAGACAATCCATTCAAAAATAACAAAGTTACAGCCATATAGCCAAAACAATGAAAATTTCATTAATTTGACCTTCAAGGTCAAGGTCATTTATGAGTGAAGGTCAAGGTCTATTTGATTATTTTTAAGGGCTATCCTTGAAGATTATTATGTTCAAGTTTCAAGACAATCCATTCAAAAATAACAAAGTTACAGCCAAAAATAGCCAAAAAAATGAAAATTTCAATAATTTGACCTTCAAAGTCAAGGTCATTTATGAGTGAAGGTCAAGGTCTGTGTGGCTATTTTTAAGGGCTATCCTTGAAGATTATTATGTTCAAGTTTGAAGACAATCCATTCAAAAATAACAAAGTTACAGCCAATAACAGCATGAACAAGCAAAAATTGGACTTTTAACCTTGAAGGTCAAGGTCATTTATGGATGAAGGTCAAGGTTAGTGTGGTCTACTGAAAGGTCTTGTCCCAAGGGTTGTTGTGGCCAAGTATGAAGACAATACACCAAGAAATAAAAAAGTTATGATCCAGGTACAAGTTTGCGGACGGGTACGGCAACGCCGACCTGACTATAACAATTACCTCTACTTTTTTTTTCAAAAAAAAAAAAAGTCGAGCTAAAAAAACTGGTCTCTAACAGCTTGCACACACCATTACTCTATCACTAGCTGGTGAAATTTCAAATATTGATGTGGCAAAAATGTTGAACATTATAAGATGGTGTGTTGCTCACAAGAACCATTAGACTAGGTCAAAGGTCATACTTTAAGGTGAAATGCAAAAGAATAGTTTCAAACAACTTGTCCGCACCATAACTCTATCACTTGCTGGTGAAATTTCAATAACCTAGCACAAATGTTCAACATCATGAGATGGCGTGTTATACGCAAAGGGTGGGACTAGGTCAAAGGTTATATACGGTCATACTTTAAGGTCAAATGCAAAAAAAAATGGTCTCATGTTTTGTAAGCACCATTTTTCTATCAATTGCTGGTGAAATTTCAAATATTGACGTGGCACAAATGTTCAACATCATGAGATGGGATGTCCCCTACAAGAATTGTGTGGCTAGGTCAAAGATTAAAGCCTTATTTTATGGTCAAATGTAAAGAAATGGTCACAAACAATAACTCTATTACTAGCTGGTGGAATTTCAAATAACTTTGCACAAATTTTCAACATCATGTGAGACGGCATGTGGCATGCAAGAAACGTTCGAATAGGTCAAAGCTCAAAGTCAGATGTGACTGCAGGCTCGACATGTGGCATTTGGGCATCTAGTAATTGAAGATATGTTCAAAAGAAACAAAGTTAATTTGGCTGTTGATATTTATCTTATAGGCATATATTGAAAGAATTAATAAAAGAATACAAGTGTTTTATTAAAATATCTTTCATCACTTTGCAAGCATATTAAATAAGTGTCTGTTTAATAACTTGTGTAAATTTTCAGTTGATACTTATGAATCTTGGTCTCTTAATACCACCAGAATTGTTTAATCTTATGAAATACTGATGAAATGGGTATCCAATTAATCTTTTGGCCATTGTGTAAAGACATTATGACACATGTTGCTTTTGTAGTTTGATGACAATGACACCGTGACTTAGTAGTTTTTGTTGTTGAATAAAGAAATAGTCAAGGTTTTATCCAATTAAACTTGCTACACTTATATAGATGTGGGCAGATAATCTTTGTCGATTGTGGTTACCAACATAATCCATCTGAATCTCTGGGGTTATTGCACTTGCTTTACTGAAACCTGGTATTATAAAAGCTATTGTCTGCTCTAAAACCAGTGTGGTCTCTGAGAATCCTTGTGGGTATATATAATCTAGTTTGCTTTTTTAAGCTAGCTGGTAAGCTTCCTCACAGGCAGGATTTGAAACCCGGGAACTGGCTTGAAGACAATAACCAAAACCACTTGGCCATGAGCTAAATAAACAGTATGTCATCTTTGTCAGCATGACAGAAATTGCATGAACTGTTGTTTGGAAACCTTTTGGGAATACAAGGTCAAAGCAACCTTTACCTTTGACCCAAAACTCAAAAGATATCTACTGCCGAAGAACAATGGTTTTATAAAGTTTGAGAGCCAAAGGCCAACATGTTATTTGTCAGAAACCACTTGACATACAATCTCATTATAATCTTGACTTTGACCAAATATAAAAAGGAGACATTTACTGACCAAGACCAATTCTCAGTTGTAAAGTAATTGGTAAGAAACCATTTTGACATACAAGGTCAATGTTACCTTTGCCCTTTGAACCCAACATTAAAAGGGGTCATATGCTGACCAAAACCAATGCTCCTCTAAAGTTTGAGGGCCAAAGGGTTGTTGAGGTTTTGGTCAGAAACTGTTTTACCATAGTGACATTTACCTTTAAGCCCTTGACCCCAAAATCAATAGGGGTTTTGTTCTACCCAAGACCGATGTTTCTACAAAGTTTGAGATTCAAGGGCCTATTGGTTGTCAAATTATTGGTAAAAATCGGTAAACAGTCATGGTCAATGTGATTTTGACCTTGACTGTTTACTAATTTTGACCGAGCAATACCAAAAGCAATAAGTGTTGTTTGTTGGCCAAGACTAATGCACCGATGAAGTTTTAGGGCCAAGGGCATATTTGTTGTTGAAATATTCAACAGATTTAATTTGACATACGAGGTCAAAGCGACTTTAAACTTTGACTATGCGTCTCTCAAATCAGAAGGGATTATCTACTTGCCATTACCAATGTACCTGTGAAGTTTGAGGGCCAAGAGCCTGTGAGTTCTTGATTAATTTGGTTTAGAATTTGACCTATGACCCCAAAACCAATAAGGTCATCTACTTTCCAAAGATACAGAGTAATGAGCATTTGCCTCCTCAAGTTATTGATCAAAAACAGTGTGTGTGACCGACAGACAGACTGGCCAACTACTATCATGCTGCAATACAATGTTCCCTCTTCTTCAAAGGGGGACACAAATAAAATTAAAGCTTTAAGAATAATGCCCCTTGTATTGCAACTGCAGCATTTCAATATTATGAAGTGATACCTTTTATAATGTTTGAACAATGGCTTGTCTGGCTCTATAATGGTTGCAAAAGCTAATTGCTAGGGATTACAGCTGGTAGATGTTTGCTTCATGTCAAAAGTTGTCTATTCAACACGTAGATATTTAAGTGGTCTGAAATTTAACAACTTAAAATTTCTTTTCCGTAATATTTACTGCAAGGAAATCAAAGGTGTTATAATGGTAGTTTGGTACTTCTTAAATGAATTCAAGATGCAATGAATAATTTTTTGCATTTTAATCTTTGTTTATAGCATATACAAAAAAATATCGGGGAATGTACAAAATAGATCTTTTGTTATGAATCATGCACTTTCAAGTTATACTAAAATTTAATACTAAAAAATAAAACACAAAAAATGACTGAACATTGCCAAATAGTATGACTTATTTTCTATCCATTATTTGTGTCTCTTATTTTCTATCCATTATTTGTGTCTGAATACAGCAGATTTATAATCCAATTTAAATGTAAGCATACATATTAATATGATGGACATAAAAAACAACAACATTCATTTATTCTATGAAAAATGAAATACAAAATTCTAGTTCTGATAATGTTATTAAGTACAATGTTATGTACTTCCTACATGAAAAAATAACCTGCCATTTGGTTTACACAACCACAAAAGAGTAAATGTAAAAACATGTGTAAATATCTTTACAAAAAATATGAAATTGTAACAATGAAATGGAATGGTAAATGGCACCAAACAATGAAGATGAAAAAATCATTCAAGATCTTCAAAAAAATAATCCAAAATTTCCACTATATAGTCAAACTCTGAAATGCCTCAAAAATACAAGCATTGACAAAAAAACCAACAACATTTAATGCTTTAAGTACTCCTATCATAACGAAAAATATAGAGGTTACATGTGCCTGAACTTTTAACTATGTGCATATAAAACACTATCCTTTTACAAAATTACATTAAAAATACCTTAACACATAAAAAACATGCAAATTTATGATAAACAAGAGCTGTCACCCACCCGAAAAGGTTTCTAAAGCATGCAGATATTATGAAAAGAAAAGAGAATGCAAGTAACTTATTGTTTAATATTATTCTTTGTATTATTGTATATGTAATATCTAACTGTGATAGCATTTACCTTCAAAATATAAGTGTGACCTTGACATTTTAAGAAGGGACATGGTTCCTGGACGCAATAGATTGCTGTTATGAGATACATTTAGACATTTCAAAATCCCTCAATGCATGATAAAGTTTCGGACATGATTGTTGTGTAAGTGGGGACACACAGACAGACAGACGAACATGAGCCTTATCTGCAACACATTGCCTTGATATGGTAGACATTTGTGCCAAGTTATTTTAAAATCCTTCCACGCATGACAAAGTTACAGTCCCGACATGAATGTGTATCTTCAGACTCTTCTCGAGAGAATGAGTACCTTCAAACTATAAATGTGACCTTGATATTGAAGGTTAATGGGTCATGGGTCTTAGTCATGACATGTCGTCTTGATGTGGTAGACATTTATGCCTAGTTATTTTAAAATCTTTCAATGCATGACAAAGTTACAGTCCGGACACGATTGTGTGTACTTATAAACTCTAATTGTGATAAAGGGTAGTGTGACCTTGACCTTTGGGGTAGGTACATGATTATTGGTTGAGACACATCATCTTGATGTTGTAGACATTTATGTCAAGTTATTTTAAAATCTTTCCATGCATGACAAAGTTACAATCCAGACACAATGTGTGTACCTATAAACTCTAATTGTGATAAAGTAAAACTTAAAAATGTTAGAGTGACCTTGACCTTTGAGGAAGGGATGTGATTACTGGATGCAACACATCATCTCATATGGCTGACATTAACGCCAAGTTATTCTAAATTTCTTTGATGCATGACAAAGTTACATCTCAAACATCCTTTAATTGTGATAATGTGAAACTTCAAAATGTTAGTGTGACCTTGACTTTTGAGGTAGGGACGTAATTCTTGAACGCAACACATCTTCTTGATGTGTTAAATATTTACGCCTAGTTATTTTAAAATCATTTGATGCATGACAAAGTTACAGTACAGACACGAGTGCGTCTACCATTTTACTCTAATTGTGAAAATGTAAAACTTCAAAATGATAGTGTGACCTTGACCTTTGAGGTAGGGACATGATTCTTGGACGCCACACATTGTCTTGATACTGTAGACAATTGTGCCAAGTGATTTCAAAATCCCTCAATGTATGACAAAGTTACAGTCCGGACACAAATGAAGTGGGGACACACAGACGGACGGACGGTGCGATTTTAATATGCCTCCCTTTGGGGGCATAAAAATTATCATTTCTTCAAGCATGCATACTTTACTATCAATAAAATATATTCAACAAAATAAAATTACTTCAAGTTACATCTGTCAGCAGTAAATGTATAACATTGATATGTAAATTATAAATTACCAACATTAATAACAACATATTTGCAGTAGCAGTGAATAAATGTATAATAACAATCAAAATACTGTTTCTCTAATTGATATGAGAAATAAATGCAAGTGCAACAAAAAATAATTCTATATAATTATGCACAATGATATGTAAATTTTAGAAAAGTACAAATTTTTAACATTGAAAGGAAGAATCTAGGATACATTTGAGCTGCGTCATGACAAAACTAACATAATGGGTTTGCAACCAGCATGAATCCAGACCAGCCTGCGCATCAGCGCAGTCTGATCAGGATCCATGCTATTCGCTATCAGTTTTTCGACTTGTAAAAGGATTGGTAAGCGAACAGCATGGATCCTGATCAGACTGCGCAGAGGCGAAGGCTGGTCTGGATCCATGCTGGTAGCAGTTTTGTCATGATGTGGCTCATTTGTTATCCTGAACAGTAATTTCACCTGAATATTTTACATATAGTAATTTATTTGACCAATAATAGCCTAAGGAATGCCAATCCAAATACTCCTCTTGGTTAAAATCACACTAAGCAAACACAAATAGTAATGATACACAATTCAATGTATAATACAAATAGAATATATGTTTGTTTGTTCAGCAAAAATATAAAATATATCATCACATGGAAAAGTGAGAAAATGGCACAAAATAAATTCACACAATAAAAGTTAATTTCTCGCTTTGATATGAGATATAGCATCTTCTTAAAAAGATAAAAGAAGAAAGTAAACGTTTTCTCTCTATTTTTTGTCTAATATGTAAATAAAGCAATTGTTGATTGTTTTCATTGAAGCACAGGAAACTGTTGCATATTAAGATATTATACCAGTCATCATTGTGTCATAACTTGAAACTATTTCCATGAAGTAATGATGTTTATTCCATACTTATAAAAATAGACAATTGAACTTTTATGTACAGTACATTCATAAATTACTGAAATTTTAAACAAACAAAATAATACTTGTGCAAACAAAAATTATTGCAAAACTATATTACTCACTCTATGAGTGATATACTGTAACTGATATTATATTTTTCGCTGATAAAACGCAGTATTTCACTGGTTAACATAAAATAAAATATTATCTATGTGTAAACATTTTTTTTTACATATTTATTTTAGCTCAAATGCCAAACAACTTTTAAGTTCTTGCAACAAATATTAATCACTTTCTCGTCCACTTCCTGGAACCAATCAGTACTGGTGCCACATGAAGAAACATGGTTGTGACCCGATTAGTGCTCGAACCCCGGGTTGAGAGGCAGACACCTTAACCCCTAGGCCACCGCAGTCCCCTTACAATATGTGTATACATGACTGTATAAAAATGATTAACTGTCATACCTGAACCTTTGATACTTGCATATGTAAGCACCTGAACACAAAAATGAGTAAATATCAGATCCCAGGTCCGAGATATTACTCATATCAAAAACTTAACTTTCTGCATAAACAGATCTTTGGCATGTAAATACAACTGAATGTCAAGTTCTATATATTTCATCATGTTAAGAAATTCTCCCTCTGAGACATTCACCTCCTCCGAATCGTCGTCTAACCCTTCAAAATCTCTGCTGAACTTCATATTGAATTTTTTCTCAAACAACTTTTGTGTCTCTCTTTGATATCTTGTCAAACCAAAGAACGCCATTTGTTCGATATTTTGTATTGCACTTTTAAGTCTTAAATCATCTTGATCCATCGTTTTATTTTTCTTGTAACAACCACTTTTTGTAAGGTCAGCTAACATGCGCGTCTGTCTGTTTGTAGCCAGGTTGTCTTTACAGGCCATAAATTCATTCAGCGTAACGCCTTCCCAAGTTTCTTGGAAACAAGGACGCACCTCAAAAAGGTTGACGCGGTTACCATCACATCTTAACTTAGCATCTTCCCAGTGTTCACCTCTTTTCTGATGCTGCCATTCACTCAGATATCTCGATACAGGATCTCTTATTAAGGTTATGTAGAAATATCTGAAGTATCAAATTTCATAAAATTTTACATTTTTCTTTCATAATTACGAAGAAACCTAATATTTCATAAGTAAGCACAGAATTTACATAAATTCTGGCTTGTTTTGTCAAATAATATCTTACTTTATAAAATTAGAAAATTGATGAAATTTCCTGTTATTTAACATGATTATAATGGATTGTAATGTATTGTTAGACTGGAATTTTTTGTGTCCAAAGGCACAAATAAAAAAGTTCAGTATTTCACCTTTCCTTAACACTGCTGTTGAGAAGTTTGTAATTATTCTTTTTTTGCCCAATGAGAATGCTTCAATTTGAAAATTTTCAGCCTTCCAGTGTTGCTCCTTTTAAGCTGTTTAAAAAAGTTCAGTATTTCACCTTTCCTTAACACTGCTGTTGAGAAGTTTGTAATTATTCTTTTTTTGCCCAATGAGAATGCTTCAATTTGAAAATTTTCAGCCTTCCAGTGTTGCTCCTTTTAAGCTGTTTAAATAATATATTTTTTGTCTAATTACTACTGCTATTACTTAATCACATTGGTACAATAATACACTATTTTTTCCCAAACTAAACACATATTACAGGACTGCTTCATTGTCATGAACAATTGTCTTACCTTCTTTGTCTTTGTTTTCCCTCTAGGTGGTTTAATGCATTAAAAAACCCTGGTAGATTTCCAATCAGCTGTAGCCACAGGGCCACCTACCTAAACCAATAAAACAAATATTACCGTTTTTGGTTTACATAAACTGGTTTTTTAAAAAACATTGAAATGTCGTTTAAATTCTATCATAATATACATGTATTATAATACTAAGAACATGACATTTGAAGCTTAACTTTAACAAACATTGTTAAAATAAAATTCAAGATGGATTTAAATGGTACTCTGAGAAGGGTTCTTTCTTTTTTGGTAGTTTGATACATTTTAGAATTACCAAAAGTGCTGTCACATTTTATGTATAATTATGCTCCTAGCACAGTAAGCCTTATTGAATACAAGAAGACCAGGCTTTTTCTATTAACACACTAATTACTGGATAATATACAAATTGTTGATCAGAATATGTAATTTAAGTGCATTTATCATATCACATGCTTGATAACTCTAAAACCTAGATAGAATATATAATACAGTGATGAAAACATGTAGCAGATTTATTTCCCTGAACTAAAATGAAGAAAAAATCATCACATTTGACACATAATAAGTTTTATTTCTGTGTGGTTTCAAATTAAAGTGCCAAGTCAGGACATCAAAATTTAGTTAAACCTTTAAATAAAATTATTTCTTCTCACATTCGGAAAAAATCTATTGAAGTAACTTTCATATTTGACAATTTATATCACCGACAGTTGGGTTGTGGAGCTCCAAACGCATTAAAATCCTAATAAAATGTATATTTGACAATCTTAGCACATATCATAATTATATGTCAAAAAAAATCTTAAAGCTAATATAACAAGAATTTGTAACAGAGTTACCAACGTCCCCCGCCTCGGGGAAGTTTTATATGAAGCATAAAATTGTGCTATTTCAAAAGATTTAGTTATGGATTTCAGGACTTTCAGTCCAAAATTATGATCAATGCTAGATCTGCAAATACAACAATAAATTTATTAAAGAAATACTAGTAAAATGAAACACAGAATTTAAAATTCTATCATGTTAACCTTTGACCACTAAGTGTGACCTTGACCTTGGAGGTAGGGGTGCATGTGTTGTGCATGACATATCGTCTTATATATATTACTATTTGTGCCAAGTATTTCAAAATCCCTTGAACTATGTGAAAGTTATAGATCAGACACAAAAATACCCTATAACACACTATGTCTATCCTTGACCTCTAAGTGTGACCTTGAAGGTAGGGACCCATGTTTTGCGCCTGATATATCATCTTATTATTGTGATTATTTGTGCAAAGTATTTTTATAATCCCAGGTTATGGACTGGACACAAAATATAACCTATAACAGACTATGTAAATCTTTGACCTCTACGTGTGACCTTCACCTTGGAGGTAGGGACACATATGTTATGCATGACATATCATCTTATCATTGTGTCTATTTGTGCCAAGTATTTTCAAAATCCCTTGATCTACAAAGAAGTTATAGAGGGGACACAAAATAAACCATATAACAGACTCTGTTAACCTTTGACCTCTAAGTGTGACCTTGACCTTGGAGGTAGGGGTGCAGGTGTTGTACCTGACATATTGTCTTATTATTGTGACTATTTGTGCCAAGTTATTTCAAAATCCTGAAGAAGTACAAATATACCCTAAAACAGATATGTTAACTTTTGACCTCTAAGTGTGACCTTGAACTTGGAGGTAGGGATGCAGGTGTTGCGCATGACACATTGTCTTATTATAGTGACTATTTGTGGCAAGTATTTACAAAATCCTTTCATCTATAAAAAAGATATGGACCGGACACAAAATATACCCTGTAATAGACTATGTAATATGTTTATCTTTGACCTCCAAGTGTGACCTTGATCTTGGAGGTAGGTGACCGGTTGTTGCACATGACACATCGTCTCATTATTGTGAACAATTGTGGCAAGTATTTACAAAGTCCCTTCAAAGATAAGAAAGTTATGGACCGGACACGACATATACCATCAAATAGACAATGTTGACCTTGAATGAGCAAGTGTGACCTTGACCCTGGAGGTAGGGGTCTGGTTGATGCGCATAACACATCGTCTTATTATAACAAACATTTGTGCCAAGTTATTTCAGATTCCTTTGATAAATGAAAAAGTTATGGACCGGACACAAAATATACCCTGTAATAGACTATGTTAATCTTTGACCTCCAAGTGTGACCTTGACCTTGGAGGTAGGTGACCGGTTGTTGCACATGACACATCGTCTCATTATTGTGACTATTTGTGGCAAGTATTTACAAAATCCTTTGATCTATAAAAAAGTTATGGACCGGACACAAAATATACCCTGTAATAGACTATGTTAATCTTTGACCTACAAGTGTGACCTTGACCTTGGAGGTAGGTGACCGGTTGTTGCGTATGACACATTGTCTCATTATTGTGAACAATTGTGGCAAGTATTTACAAAATCCTTTCAAAGATAAGAAAGTTATGGACCGGACACGACATATACCATCAAATAGACAATGTTGACCTTGAATGAGCAAGTGCGACCTTGACCCTGGAGGTAGGGGTGTGGTTGTTGCGCATGACACATTGTCTTATTGTAACAAACATTTGTGCCAAGTTATTTCAGATTCCTTTGATAAATGACAAAGTTATGGACCGGACACAAAATATACCCTTTAATAGACTATGTTAATCTTTGACCTCCAAGTGTGACCTTGACCTTGGAGGTAGGTGACCGGTTGTTGCGCATGACACATCGTCTCATTATTGTGAACAATTGTGGCAAGTATTTACAAAATCCCTTCATAGATAAGAAAGTTATGGACCGGACACGACATATATCATCAAATAGACAATGTTGACCTTGAATGAGCAAGTGTGACCTTGACCTTGGAGTTCGGGGTCTGATTGTTGCGCATGACACAACATCGTCTTATTGTAACAAACATTTGTGCCAAGTTATTTCAGATTCCTTTGATAAATGACAAAGTTATGGACCGGACACGAAAGTGTGACGGACGGCCGGACAGACGGACGGACAGACGGACGGAGCCTATTACTATATCCCCCTTTTTTCTTTGAAAAAGCGGGGGACAATTAGGCTATAATCTTTAATATTATATAATTGAAATATGATTATTTTTTCAAAAGTGTTAAACAGCTTATATTAATTTTTTTTGACATATATGATAAGTTTATGTGCTTGGATTGACAAAAGTATACATTTTATTTGGATTTTAAAATCACTAGTAAGGTTGTAATGGGAACATTTCTTAATAGTTAATACAAGTGATTAGTCTATATAATATTTGCAAAATATTTTAATATTGTGCATTACTCTTACCATTTTCACAGTGACAAGGTGTTTCCAACCTCAGATCATTGATAAGGTGGTTGTTAAATGCAGTTCCTCCCACCTTCTGTATGTGTACATAAACAAGCACATCAGATTCCACATTAAACACATCTCCACTACCTTGTTGCATAGCATTATTCTCAATAGCATTTGAATATTCATGAGGTCGTAAATATTTCTGCATGGCAAGCCTTGTATTTTTATGAGTATATTTCTGGTTTATAACTGAATGAAATAATGTGTCATTTTTGACGGCCTGTGCTATATAGTAAGAGACTGGATGTCTGACTTTCTTGTCATCAACTACTCTTCTTCTTGATGATTTTTTACTTGGAAGTAACAGATAGTAAAATATCAACACCACTAATACAGCAATTATCAAAATTTTCTGATTCCTTCTCATAGTGGCTATGACAGACTGCATGACACCATCTGAAATGAAGAAAGGAATCTGTTACTATGACAGTGATTCTGTATAGAGCCTAAATATCAATTTCTGTGGATTTCAAACATAAAAAAAGATCTCAAAATGTAAAAAATCTTAAAAATTTAACAAAATTTACTAAAATTGCAACAGCCACTTGCATAGTGAACTTGAATACTTACAGATCAGCAAATCTTCCATTAAATTCCAAAATTTGCAACTTATAAACACAATTATAATAATCGACCTAAGCAATGCATAAACCTTCAAAACAATTCATTAAATTGTAAGGAAAAGGCTTTTCTTTAACTTGTATTAATCACGCACAAAAAGACTGGACTTAAGTCTAATCTATTTAAAAATGTACACAATGTAAAATTCTCCCACATTTAGAGGATTATAATTATACATAATTTAACACTTAATTCAGCATATTTCTTCTCTAAATCAAAGTTATTAAGAAACAAAAGTAAAAATGTATTATTAATGAATAAGAAAATTAAACTGCCATACCTGAAAATGACAAAGAAATTTAAGATAATTTTTCAGTTTAATTCTTATCAGTTCACATCGCAGTATGACTTCCATTGTGATTTAACAGAGACAACAGTTATCTGATTGGTTGTAAGCATTTAAATAGATAATTCAAAGAAAAGAAATATCTTTTTGAAATATTTTTATATTTACTGAATATGCTGACAAAGTAAAAAAAATCTTGAACTAATCTGTACATCAATGGTTACATCATAGAGCTGGTTGATAGAAGAATTGAATGACAGTTGTTTTATTTTAAATTGAATTGGTTAATAATGCTGTTTAAATTTTTTTCATGATCAATTATTATTATGCTTGCAACTGAACAAATATATGATATACCATTGATAAACCAAGATTTTAGACAATTTTTGTAGCTTGCATTTGCTATGGTCTATTTATAGATATAATGCTTGCCAAACTAATTCAACAAACATGTACTATCCATATTATTTAGGACTATAAATAATTTGTATGAACAGAACATGTATTTTTCTGAAATGATGGAAACAGGTAAATTATAGATAAGTAATTATAAATATCTATTGTTAATATTTCATAATTTATGATTTGATATCAATATATAATTGATATGGTTTGCACTGAACAGCCCTACAAATAACGATCAACAAAATCAATTGTTAAGTGATTAACTTTCAAAACCATTTATTTTGACAATGCAAATCTGCTTATACGGGGAAATCAAAGGCAGGGACAGTCTTGGGCTTTGGCTTGCCCCAGGCTATACATGTATATATTTATTTAATCAATTAAAATTTTTTCATATATATTGCTTACATGGATGACGGTCCTGTCATAATAGTTATTATCCGAAAATACGCATATCCGAACATGTAAATTTATACTCAATGTCACCTGTGTAAAGAAATACTTTATTCCAGGTTTATATTTGCTGTTAATTGTTAGATAATTCTTATGTTACAGGTTTCCAAGTCATGTTATATGAAGTCATCTAATATTACAAGAAATAACACTTGAAATAAAAACATACCGACTGATTTTTTTACCTGGACACCGTTGGAAGGCCCCCGTTGGAATGGATAAAAACTGTCATATATTCACAAACAAATGCCGTACAGTAACGTACTTTATTTCCGTGAAATTAATCACATTTTATAAGTACTTGAAATATACGATAGCAAAATTAGAATCTTGATAAAATTGATTTCAAACGAATATATAATGCATTCTATTGATGTAATATTTTATTTAAGTTTCATTAAACAATGCACAATATTCTCGTGTGCACAAGATTCTCGTGTAATTCAAATTTTTAAATCAAATAATTTTGAAATGTGCGCCATTTAAACTTTCTGCAAAATGTCATTTCATTAAACATATGTCAGATAATTGTAAAAATTATGCTAAGGGAAAAATAATGAACAAAATGCCTATATTAATGCATTGTTTTATACTATTTGTATTCTGACTTAGGGCTGATCTGACTTAGGGCCGATTTGACCACACAAGCTAGAACTAAGATATTTGTTGTGAACATTGTCTAGTGAACCATAACCAATTAAATGTGTTTCACAGGTACTTGAAACAAACTATTTTTAATGTTCTATATGGGCTATGCTTTATACTATAATAAACCTATAGAACATTAAAAATAGTTTGTTTCAAGTACTTGTGATGTGTTCCTAAGGTCAAATGTTGGTCCGTCCCGTGCTACATGGGTTTTCCTTATACATTGTACATGTATACATACATACACGTCATGTAGCAAAAACTTCTTTTCTGAAACTACCATAGTTTTAGTTAATTAACTTAAATTAAGCTATCTGGCACGAAGAATTGTCTTGTGAACGTCTACCAAAGTTGTTCAAATTATAGCCCAGTCACCCAATGGATTGATAGATATGTATTGACAAAAAATCAACTTACATTTAGCTACCTTGATTTCATACATTGGCGGAATGGTTTCAAATATTGTAACTGGATTTATATAATGGTTTCCGATTTAATAAAATATTTTTAATAATATATTATCCACATGGCTTATTGAAAAAAGAAAAGAATAGAAGACAGCCATGGCGTTCCATAAGAGGCTGTGTCATGCACTAGGCTTATATGCCTGCTACTTTTAGGTCTATTAATGTTGGTCTTTGAGGTCAAATATCTAATTTGTGTTTGTCCACTTTTTTGTCTTCTTTGTGTAAACAATTTATTCCTTGAAATTAAAGTACTTTGCACAATGTCATGTCTTCACTAAGGTTAAAAGGCGTGTACTTGGAGGTTACAAGGTCGTAATGCGGGGGAATCATTAGCAGTTCTATAGACATATTTCTAGTTTAAATGAAATTGCATTTACCCATAGCAACGGAGAACAAGAGAGGTATTTGTATGACACATATATTATAATAACATCTTTTAAGGCGAAATTGTTGCAAACAGGAAAGTAAAGCTTACCAAAGTCTTAAAATATATAAAGTATTGAATTTTGAATAAATGACATGTACATGTATATTTAAGAAGCCATGTATTGCTTGAAGAACAATTTGAAATTCAATTGCTCGTTTTATTTGGAAATACATTTGTATATAACTTTATATTGTAACGTATACATGTAGTCATATTGTACATACGCGTATTAGAGATAACGATGAGAGTTGAGATCTAAATTCCTTTACTATATAAATTTGAAAACTAGTTTAACCTTTATCATATCGAAACAGTCATGTATTGGATAAGAATGGTGTACTTTTTGACGTTTCTACTGCTCCTCTTTGCACATAATAATGCAGAATTAACAGCAAATGAACTGAAAATGTTTAATGTTCTAGCAAACCGCGTTCAAGAACAAGCAAACAGCATTAAAGTCCTTGAGAAAAAGTTTGATAATGTCGAAAAGGAAATGGAAAGGCAAAAGGAAATAAATCGAGAACTTGGACACCAGTTAGAAAGCCAAAAGACTATTTTGAGTCAGTTTAGGGCAAATGGCAACCAAGAAGTCCTAGGAAACATTAAAGAAGGAAACCAGAATAATACAAGAATCGGTAAGGTTGTGCATATTTAAAGTGCATAAAGCTATAATTCTGCTTTCTATCGTTTAAAAATTGATTGTATTAATTTTGTAAAACAAATGAGCCGCGTCATGACAAAACCAACATAATGCGTTTGCGACCAGGATGGATCCAGATCAGCCTGCGCATTCGCGCAGTCGTCTGATCAGGATCCATGCTGTTCGCTTACCAACTCTATTACAAGTAGAGAAACTGATGCTGGTCGCAAATGCACTATGTTGGTTTTGTCGTGACGCGGCTCAAATATTATTCGCATTATTCATGTTAAAGAACACTGCCGTAACATGTAACATAATGGAAACAACACAAATTACATTTGATAACATTTATAAATAAAGCATTCCATTAGACATAATGGTTTTTATCGGTATTGGAATGGGACATTCCCATAAATTTGGGCAAAATAACGGTATTTTTAAAAAGGGGAAGAAAAAACTTTATGCTAAATGGATGTTTGGAGAAAACTGCATGATTTTAAAGAAATTTTCTGAAGGGGAGCAGCAATTGACAAATCCCTTCTCTGACTATTTATGTGAACAACAACATGCATTAACATGGGCTCTTTTTTAAAAAGTATGTGGTGGTGACATTCTTATTGTATCTACTAAACTGATAACGACCTCGACATTTTATTTTGCAGAAACAACACTTGATGTCGCCCAAGCCAGTGTTATATTCTCTTAACTAACTCGTTTCATATACTATAACTATTCGTAATCCTTCGTCGGAACCCATGGTATAAATTCCGAATTACTAGTACATACAATAAATAGCCTGGGTTACCAGACAGTATAATATTATTATTACCTTGAATTTGTTGGGTAATTTCTTAGTAATATTGCTAAGTAATGACAATGAGCGGATTACCTTTCCCGTTTGCTCATTTGATCTCGTTGATGAGCTGGATTAATGGTCGCGTTATGCCCGGAAACCAAAGTCTTGATTATTTTCAGAAGTACATGTAATTAATATATTTTGAATTATTTCAGTTTGGCATGAAAAAGAACATGTTGCGTTTTCTGCATTCCTAACGCATACTATCTATAACTTAGGACCCGGGCAAATTATTCAGTATGGAAGTGTCGTCCTTAACGAAGGAAATGCTTACAACAAAAATACCGGAATCTTCACCGTCCCTCATGATGGCGTTTATCTTTTTTCATATGCTTGCGAGGACTACCACAATCACCAAATCTATGCAGACCTTATGGTTGATGGCTCACTATATTCCATTGTTTTGGAGGGTCCATCAAGCGCTCACAACATGGGAACGAACGTGGTCATTCTTCGGTTGAAGAAAGGTCAAGCTGTCTGGATAGCAATAGATGCTTGGGGTCGGGACAATATTCTTCAAAATGGCGCATCATCCTTTTCCGGTGTGTTTCTTTATTACTGAGATGCATTATTTGAAAAATCTATCTGAATTTTTTCATAGAGTGATTGTTTTATCATAATAAAGTGAAGAAGTTTATACTGATTTGAAATTATTCCTTTTACAATCTCATTGCATTTTTATACAGCCGACTCAGTATTAATATTCAAAAGTAACTGTATATGAAACATAAATTTTAGGAGGTTTGAAACTTTCAAAGAGAAAATTAAAGAGCATCCTTAAAGTGTCCTTATGTATGTAAACTAATACATGTTTGCACATTATTGATATTTATTGTGTCCCGATTTTAACGCTCTTTGTGTAACATTCACTGTGATATTACACCAAAGGTATTTTCATTTCACCTTAAATTATTTGTAATCAAGTTTCATAGATACTACTGTGACTGATATATACTCAGATTTTGATAACAGCAGAATCAATATTAATGATTAACAAACTAATGTATAACATCGTAAACAGTTGCAGAGAAAATGTACAAGTTATTGATGCACAGTGTATAAAAGCAGGAAGCAAAACACTTTGAAAAGGAGGAATTTTGATACAAGATTAAGTATATCGTCAACAGATTCTTTTTTTTATTTTGTTACAGTACTGGAAAAGTTCTTATTAATCTTAATGATATAAATGTACTATACGTTTCAAAATTGACTTTTGAAAGTTATAACAATTGCGACAATGGTATATTTGATAAATAAGACCAGAAACATTATCATTGGAACCAAAATTCGTTTAAGGCTGAGCACATGCAAAGACAAATGAGCCGCGTCATGAGAAAACCAACATAGTGCGTTTGCGACCAGCATGGATCAAGACCAGCCTGCGTATCCGTGCAGTCTGATCAGGATGCTTACAAACTCAATTACAAGTAGAGAAACTGATAGCGAACATCATGGATCCTGATCAGACTGCGCGAAAGCGCAGGCTGGTCTGGATCCATGCTGATCGCAAACGCACTATGTTGGTTTTGTCATGACGCGGCTCAAATCTAGATTGTATATAGAATTTAGATAAGAAAAGTATAGGAAAAGTTCGTCATGATATATTCTTCAGCATTGCAGATCATTTGATATCCAATATTAATCCTCATAAACTATATATTAATAACAAAACGACGACGGGCCTCAATTTATATGAGTTTTGTTTCTTATCAGCAACCAACGTCAAATATGTTATTAATGTCTTTTTTGTTGTTGTTCTATAAATATGCTTTTTTTGGCTAGCACTATATACATGTATAGGAAACAACCAAACACAAATTGTGGTAAGATGGTCAGTAAAGTCAAGGAAACTATTTCAATTGTTACTCACTTGGGGAATATGAGCTCCTTTACAGAAATGTAGAGTAAGGGAGGGAAAAAGTGGGGAGGGGTGCAAGGAGTAGAGTTTGGGGTGAAGGGGGATTAAAATCGTCTTTCTTTTGATTGCCGAACGGAGATGAATTGTAAGCCAGATGCTGATAAGAAGGACAGCTGGCTCCCGCCATATCGTTTTTTTTTCACTTGCCATGATAAAAACCGCTATACAAGACACAGCTATAAAATTTGTGCGTTTTATACAACGTACATATTTACTGAGCATGCATAATTTTTTTAAAGCCTTTTACGTATATGAGACGTCAGTGCTGTCTATCAAAAACGTAAATATCAAAAAGACATGTTTACAGACATGTTTAAACAGATAGCGACTCATAAATCTATAATTAATAAGTTGCACAATAATGGTTCCGTATTCTTCCATATATTTATATTCCTAAATTGTCAAATGTAATGTTCATATGATTAATTTGTAATGATATCATACTTATCGTAGAAGTTCAACATTATTTTGACACAGATAAATGCTAACCTTACAGTCGACCGTTCCATATCATTTAAAGGGGTATACTAGACTAATTTTACAATTCAATGCTTGAATGAAAATTTATGTTTTACTAGTGACCACATGCTTTCTTTGCGTCAAACTACATAAAAGATATTAACAGTCATACAGTGTCATTAAGAACTGTATAATGATTACATGTTTCCTCACATGGTACAATATGATGCAATGCTGGTTGAGGAATTCAATCACAATCCAGCTTCAAGGGCTTGTAGATATGATATATTTAATATTGAAAACACGTGCATACATTTTGGATAAATGGTGCATACATGTATATATTTTCTCAGTTTTGTTTAGAAATACGCCTTACAAGTTCTTGTCTTTCAGAAAGTACATGTAGTTAGTAATCTAAAGCAAGTAAATCTAACGGTCATCAATGCTTTGATTGAATTAGAAATTAAACCAATATGTATGTATAAGTTAATGATAAGAAATTCGTGTCACAGCTAGTTCATCATGTATAGATGTTAAAAATATACGAACTCTTATCATTGAGACAACATGAGTAGGTTTAAAATGATGTCTGTTTTGTCTGTTTTGTCGTTGTTATTTCTTTTCATTGCGCATATTAACGCAAAACTAACATCAAATGAATTGGAAATGTTTACAGAGCTTGCAAACAGTGTTAAGGTACTAGAGCAAAAATTAAGTAATGTTGAAAACGAACTGGATAGGCAAAAGGAAATAAACCGAAACCTTGAAAACAGACTCAATGCTCAAACAACCACTTTAAGTGCAGATATGGCATTTGACAAGCGAGATGCTCAAGGGAACGTTGTGAGCGAAAATAAGAATAATATGAGAGTCGGTAAGTTGATGAATAGTCATACATTTAGTATAAGTAAATAAATCATCCTAGATGACCTCCGAGAATAACTTGAATGTAAGCAGTAAACTCTTAATCTGTTTAATCTGTGTAGATTGAACTGTGCATCTTTATATTTGGAACAGTCCATTTAAAATTTAAAGAATTTCAATTCCGGAAAACATCAATTGAGTTACTAACAGTAAACATCCCAAATCAAATACTGGTGGCAAAGGCCAGCCACTGGTAGTGCCAGTGGCAATGTATCATGAATATCAATATCATATCAATGTGATTTTTAGTTACTAATTAAAGGTTGATATAGTAGTGTCCAAAACGTGTTTACATGTCGATGGTAACTCATTTCACGATACCTAAAATTTTGAATCGTTCTTATTTTTTATTGACATACTGCCCTCCCTATCGAAATGTATCATTTACTCGTCTTAATCAACCCCTTCAGAATGTCTGACAACTGTAGGTAATGGCGATCTCTTGTTACTGATCGTACTTGCTTTTCTTGATAAGGCGTATATAATCTAGGTACTTTTTTCAAATTTAGAGCCACATCGTTCTTTACATGTTATGGTGACGGTGACCTTGAGTTCTTGACATTGTTTTACTGTTATCAAAACGAATATGTAGTATATGTAGTATAACATCCCCACTAAATATGTGGACCAAAGCGGTTAATTTTCTAGTCATTGATGGATCACTGTATGGTCTACCTCTTCTTCGACTGGAGCTAAATTATGTTTATTTATACTCTGTATATTTCAGGTAGGCAAGAAAGGGAGCAAGTGGCTTTTTCTGCATATTTAAAGAATTCATTATCTCACTTGGGACCTGGACACACGATTCAGTATGGAGCCACGGTCCTGAATGAAGGAAACGCCTTCAATGCTAATACTGGAATCTTTACCGTTCCGCACGACGGCGTTTATCTTTTCTCCTATGCATGCGAGGACTACCATAATCATCGCATTTATGCTGATATCCTCGTCGACGGCACACGAAAATCTCTCGTTTTAGAAGGTCCATCAACCGCACATAACATGGGAACGAACGTTGTCATTCTTCGACTGACAAAAGGTCAAGCAGTCTGGGTCGCGATAGATGCAGGTGGTCAAGACAATATTCTGCAGAGTGTTGCGTCAACTTTCTCTGGAGTATTTTTATACTATTAAGATGTAAAATTTGAAATGTTTTCAGAAATACATATTGAAATGAAAATTCTGTTGATTATGAAATAAAAAGTACAGTTATTATATCTCTAATACTACTAGAATGTTTTTTATCAACATGTATATTATCTTTAATAATAGGTTTTCCAGTTCCAGTTCTATAGCTATAGAAATATTTTGCCTCAATATATCTGATAGATGTTCAAATACATAAGAATGTATAATTTTATTACAACATGACGAAAAACAATTTTATCACAGATAATAAGATATCACCATCGGTTTCCTACGTGCAAGCAAATTTTTTTTGTTTGCAAATCCAGTTCAAAACATTTGTCCAAGTAACACTAGAGAATAAACATTTCTAACGTGTTTTCAATTTCATTTGCGTTTGAAAGACTTCTCATTATTTACAAAAAAAAAGAAAACACCCGAACTTTACTGGTACTCTTATTTTGTTCAGCGTTTATCGCATTACCGGGTATAAAATTATTGATGTGTTTAATGTATATAAATTTCATTATTTCAATGTATTTTTTAATATTCATGAATCATATATAACTGTGTAAATGAATTCATATGTGTAATTCATTTACCTAATTTAGAAAAAAAAACTCTGAATCAACCTTTGCAAGTAAAAGCAGTTTGATCTCACCTTAGTAAAATGTACTTCTTGGCGTTGTGATGTTGACGCATTGCAAATTAGCTAGTAGTGGATATTAGGCATCTATATTTTATTATTGTTGATTTAATTCTTCTGAGATAAACACTTTATTAATGAAAAAAGAGGTATGATACGAGGGGTGTTTAAACTAGGCCAATATTTCGTTTTGCACGAAATATGTACACGTTTCGCATAGACGTTGTGTAAGCTCTCAATTGATACAGTACATGTGTAAATCAGTCTAGCCTTGACAGTAGCTCCGTTAACGCCATTGACTCGCGTATACTAAAGCTAAAATGGTTGGAAAAAGCTCTCCTTTCACTGACCAAATACGGTCCTATTTTAAGAACCATTGTATTATTAGTATGCAGGTGAAAGACATATTAAATGTTTATGGAAAACATGCACCTCATGTACGCCTTCTAAAAACTGCAGCTTCGCCAAAATTGGTTGAAACTGTAAAGGATTTGATTGCTACTAACAAGGTTTATAGGTAAATGCGTTGGTACCTCTGTAGGAGCCGCTCATACAACTCTCAGACGTGAGGATAAGTGCTAGATGGATACCCAATCTTCTTACAAAAGAGCAAATACTTGCTCGGGTAAGAATCTCCAAACAATTGCTGAAATAGTTCCCCTAAATACAACAATCGATCTTTCGCAAATATCATCACTGGCGATGAGACGTGGATTTACTTTTATGAAAAGCAACCAAAGGATTTCAAAGACCTTATATAGCATATCGAACAATGATCGTTAGAAAGGTCAAGTATGTAATTTTCCTTACGAATCAAGGTTCTGCTATTCGAATTGACGTACCAAAGGATAAATCTGTAAATGCAAAGTTTTACAAAGGTAATGCCTTTTATAAATAAAAAATATTTCAAAAACCGTCATCAAGCAAATGATCTCCGTGGTGTCAGGTTGTTGCATGACAATGCTTCGTCACAAAAAGCGGCCACTGTACGAAAATACCTGTAACATGAAAGATTGTCGAGCTTCATCACCCTCCTTATTCGCCAGATCTTGCCCCTTGTGACTTTTTCCTTTTTCCGAGGCTAAAAAACCACCTTGCTTGAAGAAAATAACAAGCACGTGAAAAATCTCGAATCGGCTATTTTCCAGTTTCTGAACAGTAAACCTAAAAAGTCGTGCAAAATCGTTAAAAAATTGGATTAAAGGCTGAAACTTTTTATATCAAATGGTGGTGAGTTTTGTTGGATTGAGATAATTATTTTGGCACTGTTTGTTAAGCACTTTTAAAAATTGGCCCAGTTGCATTCATACTTGAACATCCCTCGTATGATATTGCGCGAGTTTAACTTAAAAATGGCTGTTTCTACCTGCCACCACTTTAGGAGTGGGAACATATTTTCTGGATTTATGAATCATAAAAGTTTGAATTTCAGCTTGAGATATGTCTAGGTCAATTGCAAGCATTATTGATATCGAAATAAAATGTTAAACATTCTATTGTGTTGTAATCCTTGATAAAGATCATTTCAATGAAAAAAAGTATTTTCTTTTTTGGAAATATGGAGAGGGAATGAAAAAGATAGACTGCCACCATTTTAGGAATGCGAGGAGAATAAAGATAATAAAGTGGTTATTTATGAATAACTATTCAGATTTCATATCAGATTTCTTAATAAATCATTAAGGTTTGAATTTCAACTTGAGAGCTGTCTAGGCCATTTATAAGCGATATGAATAAAAATAAAACTGTAAATATTTCTATTGTGTTGTTATTCTTGTAAAAGAAAACAACCCAAAAATTGAAAATACGAATTTGAATGCCTGTCATTTCAAAACATTTGGAAATTTGATATTTTAAAAGACTTTGCATTATTCATGGGAGATTTACAGCATGATATCAATATACAAGACATAATATAACAAGATATTAGATTTACTGGAAATTGCTATTAAAATTTAAATCAAACCCGAGATATTTCAATTTCATAAAAATAAAATATTTTTTTTCTCAGACAAATCTTATACACATGCTGTCATGATATGTGTGATAGAGGAAATGAGTATGATCATGTAGGAGAGAAAATTCAGTATAACTTAGGCGTTTGTATAAAAATATACAGATTCTTAGTTTTTCTTTTAAATTGTATAAAAATATTACATGTACAGTATATAACATACTTTTATTTATGTTTAAATACTACCACTTTATAAAGAACGTGTTTTTCAAATGTTTTGACAGAAATTAACATAAAAGAAGGCTCAACACTGTTTCTTACTTCTCATGAAAACACATCCTGGCTTAATATTCCTTGGTTTCTTAACTAGGGTCTTTTATGCTGATCTTTGGACATTTTCTTTTGGACACATCTCGGTCAACCAAACCGACTTTTCTTGAACACAGCAGTTTAGAGAAAAGCAATTGTCACATAAACAGTTTGTCTCGGTGGACAGTTTGTTAAATATTGCATAATGCTAAATAAAGACCAGATTTGATACATCAACTCAATTTAATATCATATACAAAACATTATAAAGTTTCGGCGTACTTATTCAATACAGTCGTTTGTTTAATATATTATATATTTATACCAGCTACGCATATTTGAATGTAGGTATGCTTGCCTATAACCAGTTCAATCGCTCATTTTTTCCGTAAAAATGTTGCATCTAAAAAAGGCACTAATAAAGCAACAGTTAGAGCAATGCAGACAAAAATTGTTTGTATGTATTATAAACTGACTCTCTGTCATGCAAAATTAAACTCATTCAATATTTATTGCAACAAATTACAATCAATTGAACTGGTTTGTGTCCAGTTTTATTTGATATATGGCATTTGTATAGCATCAGTTTTTAAAACTCATGGGAAATTACGCCCGTGAATTCCCGCTGCCAAAATGCAATATTAATGCACGTCTGTCTAGCCGATAGTAAGTGAGTGATAACTTCCATTCATTTTGGTACAATTAATTTAGTATGTTTCCCTAGTTTTATATATGGATTGAAACACAACTCGTTATTCTACATGTATATCCAACGGTATTACATATACATAGTTCTTTGTTATGAACAACGTTTACAGAAAAAACTATAAAGGTATTTAAAAATTGACGGGTGTTATATACTTGAACAAGTATTATCTTCACCTAATACATCTTTAAACTGTACAGTCTGCGTTATAGTTTCACGCGGCATCAACTGCATTCAAAAGCGATTCATTGCATAACAGTATGACTTTTTGTTTTCACTTCTTGTTCGAATATGATTGTGGAATGCGACAACCCAGATCATATATTAGCTTAGAACTTGTCTGTCATTTTAACTGGACCGAACGTAGTTTCTCTCTTTCATCGGCCGTGTAGAGAGACTTACATAACAATATGCGTTTAATTTCAAGGAAAAGGAGTTTTTTTTATTTTTATTTAGTCAAATATAATCTTGAATTTATCATACATTTTATATGTGAAGTTACTTCTTTGAAATAAAGATATCATAATAATATAAATTAAAATAGGAATTGTGTAAAATTTGTTTTGCATTTCTAACAAGCCTTTAAAACAAAATAGCCATTGATATAAATGTATAACATTTATATGAATATACCAAATTTCGGATGCTCCTATGTTTAAAATGAAATAAAAAAAATCAAATAAATAATTCGAACATGCAGCACATATGTATATGTTGGATAAGCTATTATATCTATTTATTTGATTCTCATATAAACAAGTTTATTTCAATCAAAAAGAGCTTCAGGAAAAAAACAGATAATTATTATAAGTTGTAAACATGCAAAAAGCAAATTCTCTATTAGGTAATGGCTTGGTTATTTATCAATATCAGCGTTGTTTTAGGAAAAATGACATTGGATACAAATACTCATTCTATACTAAAGGTATTGGAATAAAGCGTATACGTTAATTATTGGAAAAATTTAAAACTCTCTAGTAGCCGATTAACAGACTGGAGAGCTGTTGCAAAAAATCAGAGAACGAGAGCAGAATACTTGATAATAAATGAAACAGCTTGAAACAACTGCTGTGGTGAAATATGTTTAAAATATTTGCTGGTTTTCTTGATTCACAAACTGTTCTCCCGCTGTGTGAATGTATGGTTAAAGTTTAGGTGGAATCTTTATAGAAAATATTTATTTATTTTAACAGTTAATCTAAAGACGTTATTCTTAATACTGAAAGTGGAAAAAACAACAATGTCATTAAATAGCGTATATAAAGCAACAGCGGATTATTTTTGGAGTAAACGTTTTCATTGAATTTTATTGCAATATGAAATAATGGCGTTAAAGTAAATGTGTGATCATACGCTAAATAAATGTATATTTCAGATGTAGATTACGCTTTTTGTTTAGTAAATCGGTATTGTTTATTGAAATTTGAAATATACTTTGAGATATATAATCAACGATGTCTGGATTATCAGGAATCGGAATGTTTTGGGCATTTTTGTCTTTTATTTCCTCGGTGTTAATATGCATTGGATATTTTTTGCCATACTGGATATCTGGACAAATGTATTTTCAATTCAGTGGAAAATCTGAGCAAACTATTCCCGTACATTTCGGTATTTTCCGACGCTGTAATTATCCAGCAATAAGTAAAGATGGAGAGCTTACTATGATACTTGAATGTGGAAAATATACGACTTTCTCGGACATTCCAAGCACATCATGGAAAATAGCGACTCTTGTCATTGGGTTTGCGTGTGGTATATGTCTTCTTGTGTCATTAACGGCAATGTGTGGCCTTTGTGTTAATGGTGTTATAGTTCCGACGGTAGCGCGGTCGGCGGGAATTCTTCAGATATGTTCAGGTACATACTTACTTAATTTCTCATATGTTGTCAGATAAGAGTAAACCATTAATTCATAAAATATTGTAGAATCAAGAACACGAGTGTAAATCGGACGAATGAATGGACAAAAATATCTAAGATTTACATTAACGTTTAAAATATTTGACATATTTTTGTTTGTACGAAAAAACAAAATTGGTATTTTTCTTTAATTACAATTTTTATTCTTTATCATAATTAACAATATTTTCTAACTAAAGAATAAACACATGTTAGGAATCATTTTGATATATCTTTTATAACATATTATCATACAATAATGGTTTAAACTTTAATACTTTAACTGATGGTTTAAAATAATACTTTCGTGTTAACATTCATGTGCATATTCTGTATTAAGTTCAATGATGGAACAGTGCTTACATGATTAAAATTATGACATTTTTGTTTACCTTGAACTTTAAAACTTTTCCCTGTGTAATAATATCTATTATCTAACATTGACTTTTATTTCAATTATCATCTAACTTTTAACCGTTCATTTTTCTCTCTGATTCTTATTGATTTAGATTTACAAAAAAGAAGAGTTATTTTTCTGCTTTGCCTTACTCTTTTCTGTCTTCAGCCTTACATCTAGTAAATCAATTGTTACATTTTATATGCTCATACACGCCGTTTGATGTTCAGAAAACTCACGATTCTTATAACAAAAAAAACAAACAAAAACTAATTTTTAAGTTGTTTATTTCTTCTTGAAAAATATATCTTAATACTTTAATATCGTGTTCTGTGTTTTCAATTTCATGGAAATATGATATTAGGATTTTAATATATTGCCTGTACACACATATTGTATCATTTTAGTATAACTCGCTGTAACGCATGTACTTTTTGTAATTTTCACCTCCTGTAACAGCCGTTATTCAATTTAATTACTTTTCATGCATAAACAAACTCCTCTTTGAACAGATTATTTACTGCATGAAATCTAGAACTGTAAAAACTTCACAAAGACTTTACAAAATTAATGTTACAAAGGCACAGTTACTGACCATAGTAATACATTGAGAAATAACGTTTAATTTCTATTGAGAAAAATATAAGCAGCTCAATAGTGACAAAAGAACATTTCTAAAAAATGATAAATATGAAAAACCCAAAAAGTACCTTCAACGGACAAATCCGAAAATGAAACCCCTAGAACCGGTTTTAGATCTAAGAAGAGGAATTAAAAATGTTAAAGATATTTTGCTCACAATTGATATTTATATGAGCTACATTTATATGATTAATTGACTCGTGAAGTAAAAGTTCATTATATTTTAGGTCTGCTCATGGCTGCAGGAGTTGGTATATATCCAAATGGTTGGAACAGCCCCGAGGTTCAACAAGCTTGCGGAAACAGTTCAAAATCTTATAGTCTTGGTAAATATAGATAATATACTTTCCATACTGGATGCCCCTTTATCCAGGGCAGATCCGTAGTCCAGTGGTTAGGAGCTGAAATATAGTAATCTAGGGTTAATGGTTTCTGATTGTACAGTTTAACATTGATTAACATATAAATATCAGACCGACCGAAATAATATCTTTTTAAAAACGGCAGTATCATTCATTTTTCAAAAATCAATGCTGTTTTCTGTACTTTGACCTATGTATTGGTTGGCAACAGATACTTTATATGCAGACGACAAACAGCTGTGTACTTTATATTCGCAAAGATATTTTTTTAAGATTTGATAATAGTAAATACACATTAATTACAGGCTTTCTAAAGCTGGAAAAAATTCGCCAGTTTTTTTATCATTAACACACTTATTGAGGTCATAAAAATTATGACAAAAAGGAATTGAATTGAATTGAATTGAAAAACACTTGTTAAAAATGTTCAGTTATTCTATTAATTAGGCAAGTACGAGTAGTCTGAAAAATCCATTTGTGGGCTTTAACTTATAAGAGAAGATTTTTTTATTTTTCAGGTGATTGCTCTTTGTCTTGGTGCTTCTATATAACCTCTGTTGGAATAGGAGTTACTTTAGTTTGTTCAGTTCTTGCTTTTCACGCGCCAAAACGGAAACACGTCATTACCGGATCTGCGCTATAGACATGCGTCTTCGGAAGAGAAACAAAATTATGTTGAATGATATTGTAAGGACATAGAAGTGATCTCAATTTGATTTTCGTATATTGTTATCATATTGGATATGTTGAAGCAAGTCTTTGAAATGACTGACATAGAAGTAAAGTGTTTCACAACACATGGACATGTGTATCACAAAATAAGTCATTTTTGCGGACTGTTTAAAAAGATCAAAACAGACGCCATATATTGATCTTTACAAGATCATTACATATCCTATCACATTCCTGCTTTAAGGGATAAAGATCTATTCTACACGGTTTTACACATGATCATCAAACATGTAAAAAGTTTTCTTAATAACACAATTTGAATTCGCTTGTTATATGTACATGCTAACATGGATGAATTAATCTCTGGTCAAAACAATTACTCACTTACTAAAGTACACAATAGTGTTTTTAAAACAGGTTAATTTAAAGATGCAAAAAAAAATTAATTTAATTGTCCTACACTGCTACTTCCGCTTAATTATATCAACTTCCGTTCTTCATATAATGAGTTTAATATATTTAATGTTACATGCTCAATTTCTCTTCAAAACCCTTTTGAAAAATGTTTAGTTTTCAACTAAATACATGTATATAGATGCAATAATTAATTTTTTGGAAATGTATGGTCTATTTTTTCACGACTTTTGTGCGTAAATACCGGATATATTTAATACAATATTTGTACAGGATATACCCTAGGTATTTCTTTGAACGTTATTTCATTATTCGCATACGAACACATGGTAGTGCCTACAACATCTCGTATCTTTCTCTGTTTTTATTTAATGATTGATCCAGCCTTTAATACACAGGGAATCCGAACCCCTAACTTTCAAAAAAACTATGAAGGTCATAAAAAAAGAAATTGAAATAGGTATTTAACCCACAAGAAGATATGTTTTGACAATATCATTCTACATGTAAGTCGAAAATTCTAACCGTTTTGATGCATAGAATTATACGCAATATTAAATGAATGTCGAACTATTCTGGTGATCAGACGCTATCAAACAAAGTCATGTCATGAAAGAGTTTCATTTTACATGCCTAATTTAGTTTTTGCTTTACGCATAAACTTGAGGCAATGTTCTTATAATAAAGTATATGGTACCAAATTGTCGAGAATGCACGCATTTGTAAATGCAACATGCATTGTCTTATCCCATCCATCATAACCAGCAGCAGTTTTTTCATCAATATCCATTTTTGTCCCTTAAATTTGTAGAATGAAACACGTATCCCTGTTTTTCCTCAATTAGCATTAACTTCTTTTCTACATTGTCCATTTATCTGAAATCAATACGGAATGTATGTAAAAGTATTGTTGTTGCTAGCAATTAACAAACTGTATTTTACGCCAGCATTGAGTATATTGCTATCAGTGAAAGAACTGTTATATAGAGACACATTCAGTGCCTGTCATTTTAGTAATTACCAATGTGTGTACTATTAATCACTAAAATGTGATAGGTACAAGCTATTATAGAATAAGTGCTATTTAAGATTGTGGTAATTAATTATATTTATACCATTGCAAGATCAGTTTTTTATTGAATATTAAAACCAAATTATTGTATTTTATTCTATTTGCAATATTAATTTCAGGTAAATGTGTGTATGAAACTTATTCATTCATTAGTTCATATAAAATTGAAATAAACTTTTATGTTATTTATTGCCCGGATATGCATCATAGGTTAGGTACCTGAGAAGGCAATCACTATTCTAGAAACAACTGTCATGAATATAAATAATAGGAAATATAAGATATTTGAATATAGTGATGAATATAGTGACTATCAAGAATTATTATCCAATTTATAAGTCCAGGATAAAATGACAATAATAAATTGCAATGTTTTCATTGCAAAATTATTATAGCATATATGACTGTACTATATTGAAATCAAAGTATAGTCTGTCAGTATATTTAATGAATTATCTCATATCAAAACATTTATGCAGCTGTTCGAGATATTGTCCTTATAAAACTGTATTAAAAACGTTTATTAAGGTTAAACATATTGATTGCACCATTACAAAATGTTGATGGCATATGAAATACATAATATGGCATTGTCTATAAAATTGACAAAATGGCTATATACGTTTTGTATTACTTAATGTAAAACTATTTTTTTTCAAATTAAGATGTAAATATGAAGGGACAGTTAATAACACTGTGGATCTTCGCCTACAATTCCTATATTGTTAAGTTTATGTGTCTTATGATATTTGTAAAGGAAAATACCCCCCCCCCCCAAAAAAAAAAAAAAAAAAAAAAAAAAAAAAAAGAAAAGAGAAATCATAAAAAACACAATTTCAAGAACATTATTCTAATTTCAAAAGCATTTAGACAAACTCTATGGATCCTCACTTACAAATTGTTATATTGTCCATTTCATGTGCCTTATGATATGTATTAGAGAAAATAACTGCAGAGAACAAAGTAAAAACACAATTATTTTTAAAACGAATGTTATTCTAATTTCAAAAGCATTTAGAATTGCAAATTCAACTGAGTTTGCATTATTGCAGAAACAACATATAAATTTGCGACACATTGTCCAGCATCATACTATATGCTACTGGAATTGGCATTTTCAATTTCACTTGCATTATAATCTGAGATAACGTAGTTGGAACAAATATAATGCAAAGACGGTCAGTTCAATTCATAAATGAGTAAGAAGTTTCAATTTAAGAGGGAGAGAAAAAACTACTTAAAAAGGTAAGAGGCATACATTTGGTTTTGCTCTTAGAATATACAAGATAGTGATTATGCAACATGTATGCCTAAAATCATTTACCATTTGAAGCACCAGTTTTCACGACTCGTGGGAAATAACGGCCATGAATTCCTTCTGCCAAAATGCAATATTGATGTACGTCTGTCTAACATAGATTAAATGAGTGATTGCTTTCATTTATATTGGTACAATTCATTTAGTATGTGTTTAAATGAATGTAAAGTGCTAAATAACAGTTTATAAAAAACGTTTTCCATCATTATTGCTATGCAAACATTCTTTCACAAAACGGAATATCAAAGAATTCAATGCTATTTAAAGCATTTGTCGAATATGTTTTCATTGGATAGATTTTAAATTAAGTTGATTCATTTTTGTATGAATTCAGTTCTTTGTTATTTTGTATTAAACGAAATAGCTTGGTTTCTAGTGCAGTTTATCTAATTTTACTAATTTTACTAGTTTTAACTTTTGTTTTTTAGTTTACAAATTAATTGTTTCAATTAAAAAACAACAACAAAAAACGATTACTAAAAAAATACCTGAGTGTATGAAAGATATTTTCTTAAGAGCTAATGACATGAATGACGCACGCAAGAAATCATTGCTAAACAGTAAAATGACAGCAAATATTTTGTTTCGGGTCATTTTGGTGCAATATACATGACTGTGTGTTATACAATAGAGACATTCTATGTAGAAAACTCTTCGAAGAGTCGACCAAAAATATGACTCTCATTAATTTTATAAAAGTATGCCTTTATATACCTTAATTCTATTTACATTAGGCATGTGTGTTTAAGAAAACAAATTGTCGGAGTTTGATTTTAGAATGTGTAAAGTAATGGTTGCTTAATTTTGCAAATAAATGATACATCTAAACTGGTCTATATCCAGGCTGCCTAGTTATTCGAGCGGCTAATGCACTAGTAAATTTCTTCTCTTGGGAAATACAAATATCTCGCAGGAAAAATGCAATATTGATGCATGTCTGTCTATCGGGTATTAGCGTTATATGAATAGTAGTTCAAAATCAGATAGCTTGTTTTGTGCGGAAATGATTCTCTTTTTTTTCTTCAGAATTATACGATATGTGCTTGTGGAAAATGACATTCCAAATCTTAAATACTAGTCCTCGTTTTAAAAATTTGCCTCGCTTCAAGTCTTTTGGTCATTTTTATACTTTTGGAATAAATATTTTTTATAAAAAATATATAGATTTCTATCAACAAATTACGGCTGGACTTTTTGTAAAGAGGAATCGAATACCTTACCGGATATTTATGAAATGTATATCATTATTTGCTTACAATTATTTTTTTATTATTATTATTATTTTTACCTAATAACCCAAACTAACATTGCCAGTAATGATAGTCATAATACCATTGTAAGTATTGTTTTCTTCTTTGAATGTTTATAAGCTATCGTATCAATGTTTTATATCATCCGAAAAAAACATAACAGTCATTCCAGATCATACCCTTTGAGGCTGAGATTGTTATAGGCAGTCAGTATAGAGTCCATGTTGCAGGAGATAAGGCTCATGGCCTATATCTATGTTGATATTATTTGTAACTGTATTTTGTAAGATTGTAATTGGCTAAATGATGGTAAACTTAATGTATTGACAGCTCGGCCGAAGGAAACAGGGACCGTTTGGCGGAATTATTTTTACCCGAACCCATCCTCTTACAGCGAATAATTTTTATTTGCGGTATTTTCTTGTTTTCTACACTAAGACACCATTACAGCAATGGCTGGAACAGGAGGAGGCAGTGCTAGAGTTGGAAGATAGCATCAAGCGTATGAGGAAGATACGAAGAGCTTGGCAGTAGAATGCGAATACTTTAATAACTTTTCAGATTTATTATGATCATACTACAGATGTAAGCGGTTAGACTTTTATTTTAGATTTTATTATTTTTAGTTTCATTAATACAATAGCACCAGAACAAAAAAAATATTGAAAGCAATTCATAGATACGATTTATTGCAGGTAAAAACAGACTATTGATCATAAGACAATGTTAGAAGGGAGGCTTCCTGCACGTAATTCCTGGAAGAACATGTTACAAGCTCAAAAAATAAAGCACAGCCTGAAATAAGATCTGGTCTGTATTTTACTTTAATGGAGTTTGGTTTTTGTAATTTATCTAATCATTACAAACTTCAAGAATAAACAGGAACATTGTGAAGAAAATGAAGAAAAAAATGAAAGAAAGAAAGAAAGAAAGAAAGAAAGAAAAAAAAGAAGAAAACAACAACAACAACAACAAAAAACAAAAAAACAACTAACGGGTCCTTATTCCAGGATAGAGCAAAACACAAATATTTATGATATTGTGCTGGACTGTCATTTTCAAGTACACGAATGATGAAAAATTGAAATAAAAACGTATAATTAAAATACTATCTTGTTTTCTTTTTACATTGAGTACATAACAATTGAATTAAAAACACATTGCACAATTTCGATACAGACTACATGTATGTAGGCTTCTTTGTAGATTTGAATAGGAAATAAGCAAGCCAGCATGTTCTTCTTTCGATAAATACCACAGACTGATTTTCTGATACATTAATTTGTGTAATGTTTTTTTAATCTTAAGAGAACTTATCAGATTTTAATGCAAGAAAGAATATATGCTTTGTTCGATAAAACATTCTTTATTGAAATAAACACATGATAAGACGAATGTATTATTGTAAATAGGAAGATGTTTGTCATAATAGGTTTGAATATTTCTTTGTAGAAATTGAATGTTACACTTGCTTAGATTCTAAATAACGCATATTTAACATAGAATCATATAATTATTAAGATGTCAATTACTGAATAATGGAATATTTTCATGAAAGATTGCTGCTGCAAGATGGGATTTGTATCAAACAGATGAATGTTATATCAAAATTTATATTGTATAAATATATAAGTAAAATATATTTAAGGATTTTAACTTTCAAAACACAACCCTGAAGATGACATAAAATGACACATTGTATATACGTTCTTTTCCTATTTCGATGGTTGCGGATTAGTAACTTAAATTACGTCAATTTCAAAGTTGAGACATTGTTATAAGTGTTATTAACTATACAATTGTTTTATTTTGCTGAGGTAATATCTAACTTTATTGACCTGGCTAATGTTATACTCGGCTGAAGTGAATGACACATTAGCAAGTCCCATTGACTTGGATATTGGCCAAACTCTTCGTAAATAAATGTTTTATAATAAGACCAAAATAAAATTGTTCATTTGGTATCTTTCACGCAATCAAGCCAAAATAAGCGGACAGAAAGTACAGAAGTTGTATTCTTGTTTCGCCATTTGCGTTCATTTCTAAAGCGTATATGTCATAAGAATGCAAAGCAAAACGTCTTTTTATTACATCATATTTTTGTCAGAAAGAACGCTGTTATATATTACGTACTCATTATATGTTTTATGTAACGTTGATACCAATAGAAACATGGGAAAAAGTGAATAAAACTATATTACAAATGTGCGATATCAATGCAAAGGGACGTAATTTGCGTTATACAAAAGCGTAAATGCGTAACATCATTAACGTGTCAATAAAAAAAAAATTAACTGTAGAAAAATTTAATTTAAAATAAAAATGTATGTGAGGAGGAGAATATTCCATTCGTGTAGATTCAATTCGAAATTCATTGTAGTCGTTGGAAAAAATTCTCTCTATATAGCATTTACTAACTTAATCGAATCTGGAAAAGCGTTTTCTTTATTCCCGGCATCAGTGACGCTGTTAATGTATCATTAAACCTAATATCCATATTTTTAATAGGTTTAAATAACATCTTAATTTCACATCAATTAGCAATTAGCGTTAATCATTATCTGATTACAGTTAGAGTGGATATATTACATCCTGACCGATCATCGACAGTTTGTTAAAAGAGGATTGAAATGCTCGTATGAAATAAATGATTCGATACCAATTTGTTTTTGCTTAAAACATTACAGTTTACTGTGAAATTAAGTCATTTTTGACATTTTCATATTTGTTTAAGCATTTGGAGATAGATGTAAACAGAATCTCGTTAAAATGAAATTCACATTCTGACGTGTAACCTATTAAGTGATGAAAGGCTGTGATGACAATCGATCAGTAGTACACAGATGTTGATGTCCATGCACAGTTATTACTTTATTTAAAAGCTACATCTCTATCTAGCAGGAATATTTTCACGAAAAATATTATAGAAGTTTATTCCTATAAAAATGTGTCTTATAAATTTTAATTCATAAAGCATTTATGCTATTTGGATACACACTTAAATATTTTGAAATATGGATTATGACTCTGCCGTTAAACGTATAAAATCTACATGACTTATTACGATGCTTGCCGATCAATAATGATGTAAATAAAACATACATTGTGAGTAAACTACAATTATCTAGTCTCGCTACCGTTATTTCTATACTGTTACTTAATTATAATTCAATATTGAATGTTGATGGAAGTACTGGGAAAATACCGCGAGTGTTTGAAATAAAACGTAGTTAACAATCAAATGTAATATGTGTTTATCATTACAAAATGGTAGAAATGGCTTAACATTAATACGAATTTAATATATGGAAATAAATTTCGATATTCGATAGTGAATAATGAAGATGCTGATGATTTGCTAGTTTGCCGTCAATTAATTTTGAGTTTTAAAAAGGTGCTAATTTTGACTGTTCTTTGTGAGTTTCAATATGTATTAGTAGTTTTGATTTTATTTCACATGCTCTTATTGCATTTAAAAGATTTATCGGCATTTGTTAACTATATTCTATTAATTTAGTTCAACGTGTTCTAACTTAAAATTAAGTTGAACTTTGCATTTAAGCTTTTTCTGATGTATTTGTATTTTCGGAACAAAGGTCGCAATTCAAAGTCCCATTCAGGAAATACATACTCGATTGATAAAAACTTGCAAAATATTTCATCTTACATGTTAAATGTCAAAATGTGAAAAGATGAGCAAAATATTGTACGAAACCTTTGTCAATATCTCAATTAGTCATAGCATGTCAACCTTTCATATCATTTAGTAATTTTACAATCTTTGTTGTGAAGAGGTTTTTTTTTAATTTTCAAGAAGACATCATTCAATGTTCATGTTTAATTTGTACTTCACTTTTATAAGGAGATTCCCATGATGGACATCATTCAATTCTTTTTTGAATTTCACAAATATGGATAGAAGTATTTTCTAGTATAGAGGTATCTTCATTTTTATGTCAAGAATATTGTATAAACCTTATTAACCTAATCTGTTACTTATTGATAACCGGTAAGTGTTGTCAACTTATATATCTTAGTGTTATTTACCGGAATGATCTTAATAAATTATGTTTTTGCATTGTATAAATTCTAATATGTATTCCAACATATAGTTAATGGAAATAAGTCTATGCATGTTGACAATATTGAATCTATAAATCACATAGAAAAAGAAGTGAGAAAATTAATATTGAACCATGCTTCTTAACTATATTTCTTTACAAGATATTTTAATAATTACTGTATCTAAAATACCTCCACCTGCATTGTAACGTTTTCTATCATTGATAAACGAATAATAATATAATGTCTGAATAATTCAGTTTTCTGTCATTAACATGTTATCAAAAAATAGCGATGTTTGTAGAATACATTGTACATTTGGGTATAGTTTATTAGCATAGGAATCGAAATATAAGAAAAGTCTCAAACAAAATGTTTAAACCTAATACTTGGTCGGAATAAGTGATTGAATATTCATACTATTTTTGTACATGCTTTCTATATTGCAGGAGTGAGATTCCAATTTATCAAAGGATTTTGTCATCTTGGTAAAAAAATATATAGAAAAGTGAAATACGTTAAAAATGATATGAAAAATGGATTAAGTCAAAGAGGAACAATTTATTAAAAAATTGGCAAACGCATTTCACATTTACACTCATTCAAAATCTACTTTGGAATGTCAATAAGCAATTGAAGAAGTTAAATAGAGGAGGAAGAAAATGCTTATTTCTGAAGAGGAAATCACTTGAGGATAATTATTTATTTAATAAACCACACAACTTTTACATTTATACGGAAAAGGCTTGTTAACATGTGACATAATTAAGTTGAATTAGTAAATAATCTACATGTATCAATTAATTACAGATATTTTTATGAGCTTATTTCGGCATGAAAAATATGTGTTATACAAAAAGGATATGAATATTATGAATTAAAGCTGGAATAGATCTTTTATATAACATGTGTTGTTTTTAAGTGATTTTTCATTGATAAACTTTGTAAAAAGTATTAGTTGGAAGAATTTTAAATATGTCTGGTTTATCAGGTATCGGAGTATTTTGGGCGTTTTCATCTTTTATTTCATCTGTAATATTATGTGTTGGATATTTTGTGCCTTACTGGTTGACTGGAAAGTTATTAATTCAGCTTAGAGGAAAATCAGAACAAACCGTGCCTGTACATTTTGGTATATTCCGTAGGTGTAATTATCCAACAATAGATTCAAATAAGGAACTTTCTATTGTACTGGAATGTGGTAGATACACGACTTTCATGGACATTCCGAGTGTATCATGGCAGATAGCTTCTCTTGTAGTTGGGCTTGGATGTTCGATCTGCCTTCTTGTATCACTGACAGCTATGTTTGGTGTTTGTGTTAAAGGTGTTGTTATTCCAACGGTGGCACGGACGGCTGGAGTTCTTCAAATGTGTTCAGGTTTGTCAACTTTTATGATTCCTGACAAATTGAAACACCTATCAAATCAAATCAAAAACCTTAAAGTTAACAAGGAGAAAGGACAAAAAAATACAGAAAGGTCCAAGTCATGGTTAAGTGAATTGGCCTTTAATGGAAGGTCTGTTCTTTAATAAATAATAACGAAGATGGTATTTAGTATAAGAGAAAAAAAGATGTATGTTTGATGTTGGTAAGTATGAGATACATGATCATATATTACATATTTTATATACTTAAATATGCCACACTTAATCAATTGAAACACATGTCAAAGAGGCCACAGCTATATCATTTATTTTTTCATTTGTTTCATCTGGATTTAAAAATAAAATGAGGTTATTTCACTAGTATTTGGAATTGGAATATGTATTTAAGTCGAATAGTATTTTGGTTTACTATCATCTTACAAGGCGCAGGTGAGGGACATCAATATAACCTAGAATTTACTTTTCGGAAACAAATTTACATCATGTAAAAACGATTCTTCGGCAAAAAATTATTTCATTCAATCTAAACGCTTACAGCAGTCGTTGAAAATAAAAAAAGTTGCATTATCAGATAAAATTGATAGTTCTAAAGATAGGAACTCATACAGCTTGAGGTAAACATATCTTATATTTGAAGAGTTGGAATGCAAACAACAGATATCTAGCACCTGTTTATATTCCTAAAATGACTTTTAAGTTTATTATCTTTCTTAATCTCTTTTAACGTAAATTCTCTTCATATAGGTAAACGGTGAAAATGAAAAAAAAAGATGTTAGAATGAAACTTTTCATAAACTTACTGGCTGTTAGATTACATTTGCCATTGTACACATGTCTCCCACTAAATCTATGTCAACTATAAGTTGTTTCCCTTATTTCCTGTTGCATCTGATACACGAATTCATGGGCTGAAACAAACGTCTCTATTTGCATGAGTAACAATAGTCTTTTGTATTTTAAAGCGTTATCATTAATAATCAAGATAAATTTGTAGGAATTAACAAAAGACTATGTGTTATAGATTAGAATATCAGTGTTGGGTATTTGGTTTATCAATACATTTCATTTTTGTTTCATGATTCTCACAATCGATGAATTCATGTTTTATTGTTAGAGGAATCAGAGCAATAGAACTGAAACTGTGGGTGATATTATAATCTCATATGTCCCTCTCGTAAACCGCTGTAAAATGTGATCACTGTTTCTATTTCAGGTCTATTAATAGGTACAGGTGTTGGCATATATCCGAAAGGTTGGGACAGCCCGGAAGTGAAACAAGCGTGTGGCAACACTTCTAAATCTTACTATTATGGTAAAAACTTTTCGAGATCATTAAGAAGATTTTCAATCCCGTTTTCAAGATAATGCGTTATTGTGTTTACATGGAATAAGATAGTGCTTTCTATATTAAACAATAAAGTGTATCTCGTATATGTATATTTTTGAACTTATCTTTCAAACAAATCAATAAAACATGAGCAGAACAATGAACAGATAAATGCGGAATAAAATTACGACATTGAGATTTGAGATTTAAAGAGAAGGTGTAATTTGTCAATCTCGTTTCAGGTGACTGTACGTTATCTTGGTGTTTCTATATAACATGTGCTGGCATAGGTGTAACCTTGATATGTTCAGCTCTCGCTTTTCACTCTCCCAAACGGAAACACGTCGTTCATGGTTATGCAATTTAGACTATTACCTGAAGTTTCACCATAATAGGCCTAAGAGGAAACTGTGAAAGTCGCCCGAGGCAGCCAAATTGAAAACGTTTTGCTCGGTTTGATTGAAGGTTCAGATATATACAATGGTGAAGAAAAAACAATAAATGTGCATTGATTTTATTGTTGATAAATTTGTACAAAAAAATGTTTTAAAATAAATAATCATTTTATTGTGTCTCCGGAAAAAGAAGCAAACATAATCAATCCTTACTTTCTTTTACTAAGAGGAATAGAGCCTTCACAATAACACAACCGTAACATAATGATAAACAACATATATGTCGGAAGGAGCAAAGGTACATTAACAGACATTTAGTTCCGGGACAGAGAACTACTAAGAGGATAAGATGTGTGATGTTAATTTACGGGTGTGAATAAACAACATAAGCATAATGAAAATCTGCAAATATTTATTCAGACACGCTGAAGAGTTTCGATAGCTAAGTTTGTGAATCAAGATTGAATATGCACGTAAATGTTAAGGAATCTGGTTTAGTGACAGAGCAGTCTGATTTGTTTCCATATTTGTACAAACAATACTCTACATGTGTATCTAATAAATTAAGTAAAATTATTATCGAAATTGTTTGACAATATCGGTGCTTGGTTTTGATAATAAATCAATGACGTCATCTGTTTTACGATACTGATGCTAAGCAAATTCTTACAGAGAACATACACATCAATTCTAGGAAGGATGTTCCCTTGAGAGCAATAACGACAATAAGCTTAAGGTTAATACAATTATAGTGAAAAAAAAAACATTTGTTTCATGTATCGTGTCCTAGAATCACATTTTTAGTTTTGATATCTATGTTTTAAACTTCCAGATAAAGATGCTCTAGGTTTAAAAGCAGTTGATGTTTCTTTACGGATTAACATTGAAGTTATATTTTGTTTTCAGTAAAGACTAAAAACACTTTGATTTGTATCACGGAGACATCAATTATTCAAGATAAAATAAGAATAATTGTTTAGAAATGTGATTTTTAATGTAAGATGCGCGTGGTAATAGGTTTTCATACCTTTTGATTTTATATACGTAATTACCATGATCTAAACCTTTTAAAACGTTTTCAAAATTATTCAACTGAATTAAATTTTCAAAAGGGACATATTGTTTGATGGCACCGTTGATTTAGTCACAAAAACACCGTGTCTGTTGTTTAGAGATAATGAAAAAATCACGCGAACATTATTGCACCGGCTTAATCTATACTCAATCTACAACACATTACGTATTAAAATGATTAACACAGAAAGACAACCCTGAAAACTAAAAAATAATTGTTAATTACCGAAATAGCCCATTAATTATGCCCAAACTGGTTAACAGTTAAGCAAAACGCAAATGTCTTTGTATTTGATTTAGAAATTGTGTAAGTATCGTGCTCACAAACTGTAATTGTCAGCCCTTGTACCTGGTCGAACTGCAATTACAAGGAAGGCTATAATTTAACATAATTATAATGTGAAAAAAACAGTGAAACCATAAGATGCGAACGTTTTTTTTATCACATTTTGTTGACATGAATGTAAAGCAATTACAATTATAATATAAAATGGAGTATTTGTGAAGTATTATGACAGTCATCTTTTTAAATTCTAAACATATTTAAGGTAATTTTTATATAAAACTAACTGAATAAAATGTGTATAATGATGAACTGACAAGAGACTAAACATACGTTTTTCGTCACAAGTTACTTTAGAAAAAATGCTTTGATTATTGTCTTAAATAAGTGGTAATCATATTTAAATTACAAAAATACCTTCCTTCAAGAACTGAATCATTACAACTAAAGACATTCAAATTGAAAAATTTGTTTCATTAGCGTACATTTATGTAAACAATGGTTAGCTATTTCAAGAAAAAGTAGTACATTCAGAATACATTTAAGTTTGGGATAGTAAAAAAGAGAGATGTCGTATAAATACATTAGATAAATTTCATAATTAAAGCAACTTACACACAAGAAACATTGAAAGCAAACATAAAACGATAGCCACAAAATGCAAATATTTTATTCTGAAACTCGAAGGTAATAAAATATTGATTGTGAGTAGAAAAGTTAACATCCTTCTCGTTAACATTTACATTTTAACAAACCTCAGATTATCTAAGGCATCATCAATTAAATTAGTTACTTTCTTTTCAATGCCGAAAATTAGGAATTATTGCAAACAAAACTTTTACACTTTTGACTTAAATGACCAATGTTTTATGAAAGATGATAAGAACATTAAAATTAGTATTCAGATCAAGCTGTTTCAATTTTAATTCTAGCACGGATAAACCTTAATCATACTCATACTTATTTATATTTAATACTGAATTTATGATATCCGTCATCATTTTAAAATTAATTGTTTCATTAAGTTTCAATCAATTTTTACTGTGCTTATATATTTGATACTAAATGAAACATCAATCTGAAACAGTTTTATACACCACTTAAAGTTAGTCTAGAAAGTTTCATCACATACTTGTTTTGGAACTATACAGAATGAATTTTATTTCTTTTATGAACAAAAACAAACACTGCGCAGCAAATATGACAGATAAAACTTTCCAGACTGCATAGTGATTACGTAACTCGCTTCTGACAAAGCCATAAAAGCCCAACGTAGGATTAGTAAAATGTAAACACTATCTGGTCACTTTTCATTAAATTGGAAGTGGTCCTATACAACATCAAGATGAGTCGTTATTTCTCCGTGACAGTTGATCTCGGACATTAAGACTAATGGTCATTTGTCTCTCACCGCTGATTCAGAAATTATGCGGAATAAGTAGTCGGCCATTTGCTGAGATATTTCTGGTTACGTTGATATCGATAATTCTCTTCGCATATGTACTACTGGTATATTTCCATACATGCAGATTTGTTATAAACTGCATTGTTAAAGAAATTTTTAAAGTCTACGACGATCACTAACTTCAGTTAATCAGAAGTGGTTTTTAGTAAACATTTGTACATTTTTACACTTATTATTTCATTAAGACCAGAGAATCCTATTGGGGAAAACTAAAATTGTGATTTTTGCAATTTGTTATGAATTTATGTCGGAAAATCTTGTTTCAATAACTCAAACTGAAACAAAGTTCGTCAGTATCGCTGGTAAACCTGATAACATGAATCCTTAGAGAAATGTACCGTTCGTTATGCAATAGCAACATTTCGTTTTACTGCACGACAAACAGAAAGCCGTATAAAATCACCAGACTGGTTCAAATGATACCTTATTGACGTAAATATTTTCAGAAAGATAAAATTTGTTCCCATAAATGTTTAATTAATAAAATGGATAATAAATCTACACCTTATGTTCATTATACCTATTATAGCATAAAATCGGCTATTTTCCCCTCTTTTGCCCATGTTATAACGGGGCCAAAACCATGCGTTAACATAGTCACGCGCTCTTGTTATAGCCCGGTTTTACCTATGCGCAATACATACAGGGCCCAGTAAACAAACAAAAAATGACGATTTGGCCTGTTTGCCAGAGTCATGCGCTCTTTTTATATTGGAATTATTAATTCGAGGGCCTCAGTGAGGTATATTTAGCCTCCAATATCGTGCAAGAGACCGTGGTCTCTTCTTGGTCACATGACAGCGAAGGGACGCAACCGATGTAAAGTTAAGGCTACTCTTCAAATAGGAGGAGTATCGCATTTGAAAATGGAAATGTGGAAAATGCAAAATAAATAATTAAGAACCAGTTTTTAATATTTGACGTTACATGATATGAAATAACATCTTATTACAGGGTTTTGGTAAATAATGTTTTGCGTGTACTTTTTTAATACTTAATCTGAGACGGAAGATAGTCCCTTCTTTCTTCTTCTTCCAATATACTGGCCACCTTCAACTAACTGAAGTTTACTGCCAGGTTAATGCGCAAGACAAATCCCAGATTTAATTATGGAGCAACAATGCGGCCAATGCCCCATGTTTGAGATCGGATGATTTGAAATGTAGAACCGATATATGAAACCAGACTGTCCTAGTGGTCTCAACTGGTCTCGTGTACCACATCTCATTTATGATATATGAGACCAGACTGTTCTTGGAGAAGTGGGACTCAACTGGTCTCATGAACCACATCTGATATATGAGACCAGACTGTTCTAGGTGAAGTGGGACTCAACTGGTCTCATGTACCACATCTGATTTATGAGACCAGACTGTTCTAGGTGAAGTGGGACTCAACTGGTCTCATGTTACACATCTGATATATGAGACCAGACTGTTCTAGGTGAAGTGGGACTCAACTGGTCTCATGTTCCACATCTGATATATGAGACCAGACTGTCCTAGGTGAAGAGGGACTCAACTGGTCTCATGTACCACATCTGATATATGAGACCAGACTGTTCTATCTAAAGTAAGACTCAACTGGTCTCATGTTACACATCTGATATATGAGACCAGACTGTTCTAGCTAAAGTGGAACTCAACTGGTCTCATGTACCACATCTGATATATGAGACCAGACTGTTCTAGTTGAAGTGGGACTCAACTGGTCTCATGTTACACATCTGATATATGCGACCAGACTGTTCTAGGTAAAGTGGGACTCAACTGGTCTCATGTTACACATCTGATATATGAGACCAGACTGTTCTAGCTAATGTGGAACTCAACTGGTCTCATGTTCTGCATCTGATATATGAGACCAGACTTTTCTAGGTGAAGTGGGACTCAACTGGTCTCATGCACCACATCTGATATATGAGACCAGATTGTTCTAGGTGAAGTGGGAATCAACTGGTCTCATGTTCTGCATCTGATATATGAGACCAGACTGTTCTAGTTGAAGTGGGACTCAACTGGTTTCATGTTACACATTTGATTTATGAGACCAGACTGTTCTAGCTAAAGTGGAACTCAACTGGTCTCATGTTCTGCATCTGATATATGAGACCAGACTGTCCTAGGTTAAGTGGGACTCAACTGGTCTCATGTACCACATCTGATATATGAGACCAGACTGTTCTAGCTAAAGTAAGACTCAACTGGTCTCATGTTACACATCTGATATATGAGACCAGACTGTTCTAGCTAAAGTGGGACTCAACTGGTCTCATGTACCACATCTGATATATGCGACCAGACTGTTCTAGGTGAAGTGGGACTCAACTGGTCTCATGTACCACATCTGATATATGCGACCAGACTGTTCTAGGTGAAGTGGAACTCAACTGGTCTCATGTTACACATCTGATATATGACACCAGACTGTTCTAGCTAAAGTGGAACTCAACTGGTCTCATGTTCTGCATCTGATA